TATATGACTACAACAGTAAAAAGACTCTCAGGATTATCTTTCGATCGCCAAATCTGATTCACCTTTACCATGTAATCTTCCAACTCATCCTCTCCGCCCGAGACCCTCCCCGAGCTCTTCTGCTCTGGAAACTTTCCCTCCACCTGAGGTCAAAGGGTGGCTGGCGGGGGGTGGGGGCGAGGAGGGCTCAACCCGATAAATTGTAATTTACTTAAGAAAGGCGGTCTGAAATCGAGACATCAATTTTCTGCCTGGTAATTCAACCCCTGTCGCTGGCCTAGCTACGTGTCGCGAAGGGGACGAACACGTGTCGTCGCGAGGAACCGGCGACGAACAGCGCGGAAGACTGTAAGAAGAAAATTGCGTGTGCAGTCGCAATTGTCGCCAGTAGCGCACGGAAGAATACATACGTCTCATATCCGGTGGATATTGCACACGCCCACGGGAGAAACGATTGAATAAAAGGAAACTATATTCGACGATCGGCGACTTTCACGTAAGCAGGGCAATATGAATGGAAATAATAAGGAGCGGCCCGTGTCTAGACTCGCGTATACAGGGTGTCCCAAAATAGGTATGAGTCCTTGAACGAGGTGATTCCTGGGATGATTTGAAACCACTCTTTCTATAGCAAAAAAGTTCTCCGAGGCTTTGTTAACGAGTGATTAACGAAAAACGCCAGCAGTCTCGAGCTCTGATCGGTCGAGGTTTTTCGTTAATGTCTCGTTAACAAAGCCTTGGGGGACTTTTTTCCCTAAGGAAAAAGTTGTTTTAAATCGCCCCAGAAATCACCCATTTCAAGAACTTACACCTATTTTGGGACACCCTGTACATCAGGTCGGAAGTGTACTTAGTTCTCTGACTAGTCGCGAAAAACAAGGATTATACGTGAGCCACGCGCGAGCAACTGTGTCACTGTATGTATGTGTGTGGAGGAAAACCACCGAGAATAGTTGGCAGGAGGGACTCCCACGTTACAGATACGCGTGACGCTTCGTTACCCTTTCACAGTCCTTGTTTGTCCCGGGGACGTTTCGAGAAACTGATGTGAATGCGTACGATAGTTTTATAGTGTGATAATGTTCTTTATTTTACGGGGTATTAACACTAGGACGATCGATGACGCCCTACTGTGGCGTGTCATGTGAGTGGGTCAAATGGTACTTTTGCAGAGATATTCAACAAAGGTCCTGTTCAAATCCAAAGTTATTGAATTTTTTAAAAAATTTTTCATTTCCTGACAAAAACAGTTGGCTACTAATGAAAGTAGCCGGTTATCAGTGTTGCGACAATTGGCGACCAGTTAAGGTTGGTTAAAATTTATCGCGTGATTAGGCGATGTTAGTAACAGAAGATAAGATTCGAATTCAGGAGACTTACCGTTACGCAGGAAATAATCGATAAATAACGCACGCCTCCAAAAACGAGACTTCTAATTCTCTCATCTTGAAGGTTGAAACTTTGTCCCGAAATTTTCTTCGAACCGACTCTTCTTGTCAGAAGGTTCCTGGGTCGTATACAATTATCGTATACTCCCGTTTATGTGAAAACAAATACATATTTATTCTTGGCTTCACAAATACACAACAAAAATGTAGCGTGTCTTTGATACGTATAATGGTAAAGGAAAGAAACAAAAAAAATCACCCCACGTGTACGCGTTAACGAACTATTTGCGACGAACTGTGCGACACGCCAAACACACGCGCGCGCAGGAACCCACGCACGCACCAGTGATCACGTGACGAGCGGTCACGTTCACACCTCTCAATGCTCCTACGGCGCCATTTTCAAATCAACTGAATATTATGTTTCTAATACTTTCTTCTGAATTTTTCGAAGTACAGCAGAAAGATTCCAACATACCTAGTAATACTCTCAGCGAACAGTTCATTTTTACCCCATAAATTATCAGAAATTTAGAATACTCTATATCGTTCCTACGATAAGCGTGTTGCTCCAGGTAAGAAATCACAATTTCCACACTCTGTTTTCCCTTACGTTGAATAATTCCAAATCTAATTCCAATTTTATTTTTCAAATTGAATTTCAATTGGAATACTGGTAACTCCAATTTGATTGTTAATTCCAATTTCAACTGATTACGGACCTTTAACTCCAAAGGGACAGCCTTAAATCGTCGAATATCGCCACACGTGACACACGAATAAAAAATAGAGACTAACGAAAAAAATTCGTAACTTGTGATCACATTTGGAAAGAAAAATCCTCTCCCGTTGCTCGTTCTAGCGAGGTTGCGATATCTCTGCATGTTTGAAATATTCGAGGTTCACCCTTGGAGCCAGTCTTTTTTGCATCCACGAGACCCTTTGTACGCCGGGGGGTTGTTTACTCGGCCGCGAGGGATCGTAGAAAGGTATATCGATTGACGACAGCGTGTCGTTAAATAAGCACGAGACTCGCGGGCGCATGACGACCCGTGTTTCGTACGGGGTTGATAAGCAGACAACGATTCGCCAAAGTGGCCGCCATCACGACCAGTCTCTTCCTTTGAGACCTCGGTTGCTCGGACGGCTTGTACGGAACAGATAGGCTCTTTGTCGAGGTCGTCGAATCATGCACGAAACGTATGGAGTTTTTTCGTTCGGGCTATATAAAATTTTTGGGAAAATTGAGCTTTCCTAGCGAACGAAGGCAGGTACCTGGTGGTCTTTTGCATAGTACCTTATTTCACTTTATCCTATCACAGAATAAAAAAATACACAAAGAAAGAAGGACATAGCCCAGAGAGACTAATTTTTAAACTCATTTCACTGGAAATTCAACGTTTCTATGATAAGATCTGCATCCTGCGAAGCCTCCAATTACCAAACGATACGAAATCAAGTATGACGCATCACAGAAATTCAACAAACATTCCAACCCCCTCTACTACGGCCCGCCATTCAACTGTTTTCGTTACTCCGCGCATTCATCCCTCTCGATGCCCGTCCGTGTCGCCTGAATTCCCGTGCCTATAACACTCCCACTAATGGTTCCACGATACGATTTATGATATTCATTTGAATTCGTGACCTACCCCGCCACTGTAATAAATTTTCACGAGTAGGCGGCTTGAATCGCCTCACGGCGTGCATCCGCTTTTAAATTTAATACCAGAGTACAAGCAGACAAAACAGTGTGATGGATTCACGCGCACGTCAGCCAGCTACGCAGGTGTGGAATCAGGAATCTTAAGAACGTGGTGTGGTAAATACACACATCTCGCCCCAGAAGCTTCCACTGCACCGGAAAAACACTCGTAGCGATAAAAAACAAACGAGGGATTTTCGAGAAAATAAAAAAAAAATATTACGGTTCTCGGGAAAACCGCAGGAGGCCTTGGGCGCTCGTGCACAAAGCTGTGACCCGATTTACAGAACTTTTTTTCACGGGCGTCATTTATTTCATAGGAGATGAACGTGCGTTCCCTTTCTCGCTCGTCGACTGCTATTGTTGTTGTTCCAGACAGACGGGTTGGTGGGGGGTAGTGGCTTCAATGAAACGGCGCTGATTCGACCCCGGTAAAAATAAACCTTCCTCCGCCTCTCTATTTGAATCACGAACGCCTTCCCGCTGAGACACAGAACCTAATTTCTGAATCGCGACCGTCAAGTTAACACGGCCAAACCAACGCACCGACACACTGCTGGTTTGTTGAGCTGGGAACTTTCCGCCATTTTACCCGAGAGTTCCAAAACTGTTCCGACCTGGCGACTTCAACACAACTAATTCCGGTGAACATTCCCCGGTTCTAGATCACTCCCTAGAGGGGTGAGCCCTTTGAGAGATACCAAACTCATGTTGATGTACATTGTGCTCGCTGAGAAATGTATTAGGTTTCCAGAATTTCTCTGTAAATAGGACACGTTATTGTGTATACACCGTTCGAGGGGGCTTCTTTATTCTTTCCGAACAGTCGATGCTCACTGTTTGCTTGGGTGGTTCTTGCTGTTTGGTCTTCGATCCTGACGTTCTTACACTTCGAATAAAGTTTCGAGCAAACAGTCTTGAAAAGTCTTGAGAATATTTTCCGCGATTCTCTTTAGCCGTGTTGTTGATCTTGGTCGATAGAAGCTTTGTATCTGTGGCCCTTAAAGTCGTATCTTCTGTATCTCTTCACACTGATTATTTTAATGATCTATTTTTACTTCGATAGCATTTGCTTATTTCTTGTCTTCAACTGTAACTATACAGCAAGAACGTTGGATATTTCACCGGGCACTCATTTACATATATCGTTGTTCTTTTACTAAAAATTATAACTGAAAAAATAAAGTAAACATATATGACATTTTCTCTTTATTTTAATGCCCAGAATCTACGCTGTGAACACAGCGCATATTTTTTATTAATACTATGACAACCAGCTAGTTTCGCCGGTAACTTTCACCGGAGGCCCGCTGTTGTTGTCAGGAATTAACAAAATATAATTTTTGCTATATATGTATCTGAAAAAAATTCACTAATTTTGAATATCCGAGAAGTACTAGGTGACCCTCACATGGCGCCACTGTCGCGTCATCGGCCACTAACAGTTTGCACTCGCATCACGCCACTGTGGCATCATCGGCCGTTGTAGTGTCAATATCGATTCCATGACAATCTGTCAACACTTCTGTCACGGTACCTACTTATATTTATGCAACATACCCGACAAAAATTTATCGGATCGGCCTTTCGACCTTCTGAAGCAGGCTGCACTTCGTTCTGATCTACGCCTTAATCTTCTACCCGACACCTCAAACCTTTCACGTAATTTCATAAAAGGGACGCGCGAAAAGCGAAGGTATACCTGTTCCCGTTCTCGGGTATTCACACCGACGTCTGGGCACGGAGAACTTCTTTCCACTGTTAACCAATAACGAGTTACCCCAGGGATCGGTGTGTGTAACATAATTGACGCGTCGCGGGGAGACTCTAATCTGCAACGTGAACGTTCCGCAGGAGGCGACCCTGCAGACTGTATATTCCCGCGTTAACGAAGATTATGAGACCGTTGTAAAGAGGAAAAGATCGTATCCTCGATCGCGACTAAACGAAACTAAATTCGGTACGATAACCCGTCGTCGGGCCGTTGCCCTCCGACACCGATGACGCCCTAGCAAGCGGAGGCTGTGATTCAGTTATTTTATTTTCGTCTCGAGGTACGTTCTTGACAGTACATATTTACAATGCACTTAGTATTCTTGCGGTCATTAACCGAAAACAGAAATGCACGATCTTTCTGTTTGGTTCTGAAATTGAATTCTAGGTTATGTACAATGGAAGAAAAAAAGTACCCACATACCGATGACTTTTACCATCGAACGATAATACTGTTTTCAGCGTAACGACAAGTTAAAAATGATCTGTGTTAGGCTATAATTCGATATAAAACTGACTTGTTCTCTAATATACTTTGGAAATATCTTACATTAATTCTTAACTTAATGTTATAGTGAAAGTAGTATCGTCGATACGTAATACAAATTGTATTTATGGGTTATATGGTTCGTTCTAGGTTATGTTCATAGTGGGTACAGAAAGTGTTTTCAGCGTGAGAGATTTAAAAGATGACGTAATGAAATCAGTGAGAAATTATAATATATGGGGATACCTACATTGTCATGTATGAATGATAATTCCGATAATTTGTAACAATATTTTTCGATGTAATAAGTTGACTCGTCTATGGATTCGCGAAAATGAACGATTATGAAAGATCCCGTAAAAATGAGATATGTCAGTGAATAATCGACGATTTTCTTATCAAATTCAAACTTTGTTCGTCATGTCAAATGCAGATATTTTAATCTACATATTATGGCTATACAACTGATCGCGCATAGATACACCAAATGAATCGTTCTTCTCACAAACTGGCACACAGAAATTCGTGAAATTCCACTATACCACATAAATAGGAAGCAACTTCGAATTATTAAAGTCACTGAGAAATTTCTACAGAAATACAAAATGTCCCTGCGGCTTTGCAGGCGATCCACGTGTATTTCAGAATCGAACAGGTGTCTTTCAACCGGCCATCCGAGATCCTATCCGTTTATTATCACGGCAATTACCGTGAACTCTAAGTGCCCCACCCCTAATTGCTCACCGCAGGAAGGGGTTAGTAGCTGTTCGCGAAAAATTACCGGCTCGCCCGCGGCCAGATGAACGGGGTATATGTAGATAAAACAGCCGCGAAATTAATTAACACGACGACGGAGAATTTTGAAGGCGTGTTCGAAGTTCCACTAATTAGAATTCGCCGAGGATGAAACCGCGTGATCGCGGCTTAACTGTGTTCGCCGGCACCTGCAAGAGGGAGACAAAGTGATCCCTCCCGCGTTAGGCACTTTGAAACAACCCTCTTCGGAGGAAAATTAGTGAGGGCTAAACGAGAGACGGCGGATGTCTACAAAGCGTCAAAACGAAACTTCCGTGTTCATTAATTCGCGGCGACGGTGGTTCACTTTGAGCCCACATTCAAGATAACCAGCAGACGTGTTTGCCTTTGGGATTGCGATATTTATTCCGTATCGTAGTAACAAGTCGCAGATTCGAGGTATCAAGCAAACTCGCGTTTACCCTCAAACGTAATCAAAACGCAACACTTTCCTCATCGATCGTTAATTATGTTTTAAAATAATTATAATGCTTTTAAATAATTATACGTCAACACTACCAGCCTCCACCATGTTCATCCTTGGAACCAAAATTGACTTGTTCGCATATTTTCTTAAAGCTTACGCAACTTTCTTATTAACTTTCTTAACTTTCCTCCGAGTAATTCGATCATCGTAAATTCCATATTTGTTTATGAACTAAGTTCCATGTAGCAGAGAGTAACTGTTGTCGCTAACATTCGAAAATTGATCCACAAGTGACATTTCTACCAAAAGAACTTCCAAAAATCCCCGACTAACGAGTCCATAAATCGCAAAAACACCATAAAACATAACGTGCAACACCTTAACGCCGTTTCCGTAATTTTAAGATCGACGGTCGCGTGAAGAATAAATAACAAAAAACCGATTTTATCAATCCTTATCAACCCCTAAATTTCGTCCAAGGAAATTCGTCTTATTTCACTTCCGTATCCATTATTCGATATCAGAAATCTTATCGGGGGTCGGATCGGAAGTGAGCAAACGTGCGACTGGGCGATAAGGGGGCAAGAAAAGTCGCGAAGCGGATGACAGTTGGACGTTCGATACTTAAAGAGGGTATTGCTCCACTGTAAACCCAGATTCTATTTCTGGCACGCGCAGAGCTTGAAACGACGTTTGCGATTCAAGTCGTCGTTGCACGATTCTCCTGCAAACGTGTTCTCTTTTTTTTTTTGTGATTCTTAAACGTTCGGTCATTATCATAAAAGTCTTCCGGGGCAAACTGTCGACAGTCCTCTACGAAACCGTCGCTGTTACTCTCAGCGAGACATCGTTTGAAGCGAAGACCATCCGAAAGAGTCGTTTGCCCCTCCTCCCACCCCCTTCAAAACATCGTCAGCATTAATGGATCGGTAAATTATTAATAGCGGTTAGCTCATGTCGCCGCCATTTTTACGGCGTCCCCTGAAGTTACGTGGTACTCGAGGAGGTCGATTTGCTCTGAGGCATACATGAAAAATGACTTATATAGTCTGGTGAGAACACGGAGTCGTTAAGAATTTTCATTTCTATTTCTTACAACCCCCCGTGCTTGATTCTACGTTTTATATCTCTGTTCGGTCGAGTAAAATTCGGTGACTCGCGCGAAACACCGGGAAACTTGGATTTTCACACGCGTCACAACGGGAATACGCGAAATTTCGTAAACAGAAGTCTCTATTTCAGTATCGTCGCGAAACTTGCGGTCGCGTCTATCAAAAATAAATGTCGAAAAAAGCCCTCTACTCTAAATAAACGTCGAGGTTAAAACGAACGCAGACGTCACACCCAGAGGATGTAGTTCGGATAAGAAAAACAAACTGCCAGAGAGAAGATATACAATGTAATAGTTGAAAAAACTTTGTCTCTTGGAAATTTATTGTGCTGTGAGAGAAGCATGAATTTTTCGACGTCGCGTTGGTAATTCATACATCTAATACTATCTACCATGATTATTAATAATTTACGGTTGCAAATGTGATTAGTGACTTCGGTGATATAAAGATATGTTATTTAATATGAATAGGCATACAACTTTATCATAGCTGCTATAACATAAAAGAACAACAATAAATAACAGTGCAAAGGAGAAAGCAAACAATGTAACACTGCACGGTGTGTTCCAAAAAGTTATAGTACTGTCCTTAATTCATAAAACAAATTAGGTAGTAACGATGTTTTCCTGCCTATGTATAGATTGGCAATCGTTAGATAGAAAATACAAGACGATCGATTATCAGAACGAACATTTTCCAGGCAGGAATCTGCCTAAGGGATCACGTGTACTGAGATTTACTGACACAGTTTACACACAGAGTGTGACAGTTCTGCCCCCCTTCCCTGAGCAGTGAACCGAGATAGATTTCAGGCCGGGGGAAGGGGCGCCAGACCCAACGTGACCGGCCAGGTCACGTTTCAATCTTGGCCGCACCCTTCGCGCATCGCTTCAGATCCAGATGGAAATATTTCGGGATCCTTCGCGGTCGTGAAAAGAGAGTCGTGTACCGCAAGGAAAAGTGGCCCCGTATTTTATCGGCACACATGTCTCGGACAGGGATTTCGCGATTGTAAGGAGGGGAAGAGAAGCTTGGTTATCGTTGGCACAGACCTACCAAGGTGAGGACGGAAAAAATGGATGTGGAGAGTGAGAAAGACGATGATATATTTAAGGCGGTTCGGTATTCAAGAGGAAAAAAGAGGCGTGTTTGTGTGTCAAAGGTGGAATTCCGAGAAAACGAGGGCTGCAGGGTAAAAAATGGGTGGAAATACGCGAAACATCTATTGGAGGACGAAATAGATGTGTAAGGTACAGACGATTAGAGTCTTTTGATTGCTCCAATATTGCTGTAATATTAGTTGACTGTAACACACCAGTTTTAGTAAATACTATTTTGCTGTAAAAATTTTATAGTTTCTATCGACAGGAATGGCATTTTATTGAAATCGTTTATATCGATCAGTACAGTAGTACGCTTCTCCGTTGATCTCTACAATCTTCTAAATTGTTCAACAACCTTCGAGGGCTATTTCTTAGAGGGTTCAACCTCCGTTTTCACAAGCAGAGAGGGCTTCAACTCGGATCGCCGATTTTAGTGGAACTTTTAGGACGTGTATTGTACAGGGGCAGATACTCGAAAGTTTTTGTGTTATTTGCTTTCAAAGTTTCCCAGCAGTGATTTAAATACAACTTATATTGCCCGATTATTTGCGGGTATTGTAATATTTAGACAGCGTCCATGGTTTCTACATATCGTCACGACCAGAGTTTTAGATACGTCCCTTCCAAAAAATATTGTGACGTATTTGAACCCTAACGTGTCCTATAACCTAACCAGAAACCGAGCTCTGGTCATCTAAAACTTCCTCAAATACACGAAGATAAATTTTTCAAGGAACGTAGTTGTCTATAAATAATTATGTTCAAGTTATATATGGTTTTTTTTATATTAAATTTGTGTTATAAATATATATAATTTTATTTCATACTTAAACTCTGGTCGTTACGATATAGAAACCACAGACGTTGTCCGAAAGCTACAACACCTACGAATAATCGGGCAACATAACATGTATTCAAGTCACACCGAAATCAAATAACTCAAAACCTTTCGACTATCTGTTTCTACATAGGAGCGATTTGTAAAGAGGAAGACGCCTACTCCACATGTCCTGAAAGTTTCATGACAATCAGTGACCCTCTCGTTGCGACCTCTCCCTTATCTTGTCAGTTGATCCCTATACTCCTGTAAATTTTCTAAGGAATCTGCGTGGGTTATTTCTTAGGAGGTTCCGCCCGTGTTCTCAGATATCACCCTAACGTCGTGTACAAGTCATGTCGACTAGACCGGATGGGAGAACGTCACAATAACGGCGACACTCACGGGGAAATAAGAAAGGAATCTTTCTCGTAGCTTGCGTAACAAGCTCCGAGACAATCTTCCATGAACATATTCCCTCCGATGCCAGAAATTCTTTTATCGAACCACGCTGCCCATTGTCGCAGGGGTTCGTGCACC